TTCCTGGCGTATATATACCCGTATAGGAAAGGGAGGCAAGGCAAATAGCAGCGGCGGCAGCATATTTGTGCGTGCGCGCTCACACTCACACTCACACATGCACACTTGGAATCGCTCTTGGCTTCCCACCTTTTCACCCCCACTACCGCCTGCCGCCGCTCTCCTGCTACTGCTACCTGCCCCCCAAAACTTTCACCTCATTGGACTCGTTTTTTTTTTCATCTCATTAAATACACCATTTTCTTTTAGAGTAGAATTCATCAGCGGTACCTGAACTTGCGCCGCGCGGTCATTTTGGTCACTGTACACAAGAACTCACGCAATACGGGCAGAGGATTTATGTTAAAGTGTCCTTTTCCGGGAGGGCGTTTTTGAAAAAAAAGGCCGTTTAGTTAAAAATCCCCAATTCTCCCACTCCAAATCCCTAGTTCTTGCCGCCGCGCACCCATCCTGCCCTCGCCCCCGACAACGACTTCGCCATGTCTTCTACTAGTTCTGCCCGGTCAGGTTTCCGCGGCAGGACAGTGGTGGTGCCACTCATCCCATGTCCTCACTGCCAAGCGACGGTGAGGTACTATGTTTCGAACACAGAGGATCACGAGGGCTGGGTGTTCTACATATGTCCCAATCACGCCGTAAGTAACTTGAGTTGGTTCTGTTCTTGGCAGCAGTTTTCCCCTCTCGTTCACTTTTTTGCTGTTGGTTTGCAGCCTATTGGGTGTGATTTCTGGTTTTGGGAGATGGAATATGTTGCGTACCTAGTGGATGCTCATTTCTTGGTTGGGAACCAAGTTGTGGATGCCGTTGGAGCAACAGAGGAGAGGAGGGAAGACTTCATTAGTGTTATGAATGAAAGGAGAAGGATTGCAGCTCAACTGGCAAAATAGTAGAGCTGCTTTGGCAAGGCCTGGCTCTCTGCAGCAGAACATGAGCATGCACCAAGAAAGTGCATTGATTGGATTAGGTGCAGAGATCTTGGTGCTGCTGAAGCTTCTGTTAGGTAGTGTGATGTTGTTGTGTGCCCTCTGTGTTCTTCTGTTGATGAAGAAGTGAGGACAAGTGCTCTCTGCAACAGAAGAAGTGATGAAGGAGTACTATAGAAGAAGAAGAAGAAGAAGTGATGAAGACAAGTGCTCATTTTGGTAGTGGAGAAGTGAAGACCAGCTTCAGTAGTTTAGCATGTTTAGTACTTTCAGTAGTTTAATGTTAGGACATGGCTATGAAGTCAGTTTGGCTTTATCAAATGTTATGGTTGTCAAGGCCAGAAATGTATGAAGTGATCTATCTATCTATCTTTAATGGAAACATTGTCTTTGTATTCTGTTATCTTTCTGACATGATAATTGTAATGTGGAAGCAGCAAGAATGGGTACTGTTTCATATCATCTTTATGAAATGAAAAGAATGGCAACAAGAATGTAATGTGGAAGCAGTATTGACATCAACAATAGAATGACAAGAATGGGTAGACAGACAAGACAGTTTTCATACCAAAATATAGATTCTATAGTGCATCATCATACCATAAGATCTTGAGATAACAAGAAAGGGAAACACATTCATATTTTACATTGCTGAAAGAGTACTCTTGCTAAACAAGACAAACAGTCTCATAGATCATCTAAAGATGTCAAACATGCTTGATCTTTGTGGCACATGCCCAGCTTCCTCCATGTTTGGTGCCCTTTTTGTGCTTGTTTCCTCAACGGCTCCTTCTTTGCTGCAAGGGATTGTCTCTCTGCTTCTTTCTTTGCAGAAAGGGCTTGTTTCTCTTCCTGCTTCTTTGCTAGGAGTGCTTGTCTCTCTGCTTCCTTCTCTGCAGCAATGGCTTTCTTCTCATCTAGTTTCCTTGCAGCAGTAGCCTCCTTTTGTGCCTTCTTCTCAGCAACCAGTTTCTCCTTCCTCTCAGCAGAAAGCTCTCTTTGTGTCTCCACTATTAGCTGCCTTGTCTCTGCTCTTGCCTACCTCAGGATTGCCATTGATTCCTTCTTCTGTGCAGCTGCCTCTCTCTTCTTCTCAGCTTCTCTAGCCTTCTTTTCTGCTTTCTCATGCCTTCTTCTAGCAGCCTCTTTTGCTTTCTTCAACTCTGCTTTTATCCTTGCCCCTAGTATAGCTTGCTTCCTGTCTTCAAGTTCCTTCTCTCTTTGCTGCTTCATGGCCATCATTTTCTTAGCTAGCTCTCCCTGCCTGATTGTGTTAGTGCTTGTCTGGGCCTGGTTAAGCATTGCTTGTGCATTTGTTAAGAATGTTGATTCTGGGATTGGTGTGTGCTGAAGCACTCCAGGCAAAGGCCTCTGTACATAAACATGTCAAGTGTCAACAAATGGAAACTAACTATGTCACTAAAGCATGACTGAAACAGAGCAAGTGAGCAAGAGTACTCATGTTTAAATTACCTGTTGAAGCATGTGATCCACCATAAGATCTTCCACTACTGTACTGGTCTCTGCACTTGTGTTGGCCTGCTGCTCATCAAACAAAAAGCTTGTTAGAGTCTGCTGGTCCATAAGATCTGCTAGAGGTTATGTACAAGAAAAAGACAGTTACCTGGGCTTCTTCTGGAGGTGGTTGTTGCTCCATGTTAGCTTGTGAAGTTTCCGAATTGTCATCATGTTGGGGTGGAGGAGCTTGTGCATTGGGAGGTGGTAGACTAGCTTTCATATATTTGCATCCCTTGATATTGTGGTCAGGCTCACCACAGTAACTACAGTGCATGATGACACCATGCCTTGACATCCTCCTGCCTCCATTACTACAAATAATATCTTCTGGTCCCTTCCTTCTCCTTTTGCAAGGCCTTCCAACATGCTTCTGGTAGTCTGGTGGATTAATTTCAGGCCCATTCATCTTCTCCCACTCAGTGATGTCTTTGCAAGGCTAGATGATGTTGCCATAAGCCTTCTTGAACATGGACACTGAGTAGCATTGATCCACTAAGGTTAGTGGATCTACTCTCTCATTCCTATAGCATGCTATAACATGTATGCAAGTCACTCCACTTTTTTGCCATCTCATACAACTGCAGGACTTGCTGTGCCAGTCTACTATGTAATATGTTCCTCTATCCACCACTTGAAACACTCCATCTCCTGATTCATACACATAGCATGTGTTGGCCAGCTCTGTCAGCTTGTCAACCAGTTTATTGATCTTAGGGCACATTACTCCTTGCATCTTCTCACCCTCACAATGCTTGGTGTAGTGCCTTGCAGTCCACTATTGCTTGATCCTCTCAAACATTGAAAGAATTGGCAATTCTCTTGCCTCCAAGATATAACTGCACAAGCATCGCATGTTATGTTGACAACAATGATAGGAAAGCATTGCATCTTATGTTAAAAAGAGTGAGAGGAAAGCATTGGAACTTACTTGTTGAACACCTCACATAAATTCTTGAGCAGAATGTCACACTTAGGTATGTCACTTTGGAAAGCCCTCACCCAAGTGTTTGGCTCCAACTCTTTCAACCATTTGTATGCACTCTCAGTCAGCACCTTCATCTCAAGCATGTACTGCTCATACTTAATAACTGTTGTGCTCCTAGCTATCTTCCACAATTGGTTCTTCAAAGCATCACCTTTGTACAGCTGTTGGAAATTCTTCCACATATGCCTGACACAGAACATATGTTCTGACTAAGGGAATACTTCAGTCACAACATTTATCAGACCCTACAAAACAACATAGACCAATACAGAAAGTGTTAAACAAATGTACTCAAGTACACTAATCTAATTAGACCATCAGACAATGTGGTTGCATATACCTTCTGCTTGTCAGACATTACTGTCCATGGGGATGTGTTGATAATACCAAGATCACTCTTCAGCTTCTCAAGAAACCAAACCCAGTTAGGCTTGTCCTCCACTTCCACAACACCTATTTGCTATGGGGAATATGCAATTATTTCGATCTATTCCTACCGCAACCAGCAACTGTCCTCTGTATCTTGTTTTAGTATGGCAGCCATCTATGAAGATCATAAGCCTGCAACCTTGAAGGTAGCCTCTCTTCCATGCATCAAGGCACATGTAGGCTTTGTTGAACCTAGCTTGATTATCTAGTGCAAGCAAAAATGAGCTACCAGGATTACTTCTCTTTATCTCATGTCCATAATCCCACAACATCTTGTACTGCCCTTCTTCATCTCCATGAATTATTTTCATAGCCAACCTTCTTTCCCTCTGAAGCTTGGACCTAGTTGGTGTCATGTGCCATTCCTTTTGAACAACCCTTGAGAAGTTTCTAAGAT